AATTAATTACAATGGAAAAACTTTAGTGTGAATGAAAGTCTGTGTAGATGTTAACTTAAACTTTAGAGATAATCACAAAATTTCATATATTTTTATTACCCTATATACCAGTTCTGAGAAAATACATTGTAACAGGTATCATTTGAAAGGCGTAGTGTGATATACAAGTAATACCATGCAGTCCTACTATAAGTATTAAACATCGAACAGAGGTTAAATGCTGCTGTTATTTATACGTTATATTGTGGAAAACCAGAAGTGATGAAGGGCTCATGTTTATTTACCATTCTACCATGATTTCAGTAAATACTGGATTGTGATTGGTTAATCAAAGTCATTCAGAGGTATATAATCACGTTATATACCTCTGATTTTCCAACACAGTATGTATTTTTTTATTCTTTTTTTTATTCTTAATCATGCAGTTATGGTAGAATGGAAATAAACATACTGTGTTGGAAAATCAGAGGTATATAACGAAATCATAATAGCTCTAAACTTTTTACTCAAAATCTCACGCTACATGTTCAGTTTTACATAAAATTTACAGCTAGCATAATTATGATATATACCTCTGATTTTCCAAATCAGTATGTTTATGTCCTAAGTGTTTGAAAGCCATGAGCAAATGTATGGTCCTGACAAAACTAGAAACATGACTTGAGAAAACAAGGATTGGAACCCATGAACCCTTTAGGTGCATGGCTTGTCAAAGGGAGGCAACTCTGTATAGCAAACTACAGCAACTTGGACAACTGGGCCACCTGTGATTCTTCAGGATAATGATCATTATGATTGATATTAAATTGGAACGTGGTTAAATTGGATGAATTCGCTATACTTCAGACTTGCTCCAACAGGCAACACACAAACTGAAAACAAGGTTAAAGATTTCTTTATAAGATTAGAGATTTACTTCCTGTTCATCATGTTCATAGTGTTTCCCCGCCCGCCTATCCATGGAACTTAAAGATTATTTATAATGTATCGTATGTATTGCGATACATGTCCTTCAAGTCGATGTATCGGGGCCTTGTATCGGGATACGATACTATATCGCCGTATCGTTACACTCCTATGTGTTTTCCATACTTTCGGAGCTGAATATGTCAAATACAACCATAATTGAATAGGGCAGTTACAAATCACTTGCATATTCCGTGAATTGTACCAGATCCCTTCATGAATTCAATTCATTATTTTCTATCACTTGAATCAAATATACATGTATGTGACTTTATATAAAGGAGTAAATGAGTGAGTGAGTGAGTGACTTTAGTTTTACCCTGCCCCCTTCAAATAGGAGTGTTTTACTGTAATTGGGGTGTTATCTACCAAAGTGAGATTTGCAAAACGGAATATATCCAAGTCAGACAGGAAAACAGTCAACTCTTACATATTTGACATGACAGTAATGTGGTCACTGCGAATACTGTAACCACTTAGCTACCCCACCGAATTTAAGAAGAACTCATCTCAAGCCAATTACGACTTATTGGAAGAGGGACCAAACTGAAGCAAGTAGTTACGACTTACTAGAAGGGACCAATATGAATGAACCGTCCTGCCAAATGTAACATTTGGCTGATCTTGTGAGAACTTTCATCTTAAAACATGCCCAGGTTGTTGATGGCCATTTATTCATCTGTATGGTACCTACATTGATATTCAATTCAGAAAAATTAATCATGTGTTACTAATGCAGATTACTGAAAAAAAAACGTCCTCCATCAGTTAGAAATATTTATCTCTCACAAGTGGAACTGGAAGAGGAAAAACCTTCACTCAGCAGATTTCAGATTATGGATGAGTACAGCCTGCTGTTACTGGTGGATCATGTCCCACCTGAGGAGATGTGTCAGTGGGGAGGAAAGGATCATGGAGTGAGTTAAAGCTGTGGTTGACACTGAATATCACACAACCTACTCCAGTCATGTCATATGAATGTGTTATCAACCAATGGAAGAGTCAGTAGCAAAGGCTGAAAGCATAAAACCTTATTCTCAGTTGAATGGCATAGTGTATTTATAGTTTTTTCTTAGTCTTTGTGGTCCTTTTAAGGTGAATGAAAGACAGTGTGAAAGGACAAAAATGGCAATAAACTGGAACTGTTTTGAATATAAACTGAAAGTTGTGAATGAGTGTGAAAGTTGTGTTACAATGAAACTGTTTTGAAGATGTGAAAGTTGTGTTACAATGAAACTGTTTTGAAGATTTTTACTGTGAAAGTTGTGTTACAATGAAACTGTTTTGAAGATTTGTGTTTTGGTGTGAAAGTTGTGTTACAATGAAACTGTTTTGAAGATTTGTGGGTGTGAAAGTTGTGTTACTATGAAACTGTTTTGAAGATTTATGGGTGTGAAAGTTGTGTTACAATGAAACTGTTTTGAAGATTTGTGGGTGTGAAAGTTATCTTATTGTTTGCTTGTTTACCGGTATTTGTTGTTTACAGACACATTCAGAATTTCCCACTCTACTATGATAAATATCCTTTATAGTTTTGTTATTTCTAACCCAATGGGTAATAATAGTATTTATATTTCTCTTAAAAATCACATGTGATCCCACTTCATAAATGTAATAGCAGGAAAATGTCAATCTTCGCCAGCTTCTTGTTAAATAGGGCTTCAACGATTCGGTTCGATTCACTGAAAATCGAATCTGACACCTTAGTTTTGATTTTCGATAACCATTATCACTATTTCGATTCAATATTTGAATACCTATTTAAATTATTTCCACACAGCCAGAACGTAATTTTGACTCCAATTTGAGCAGTTTCGAGCACTGAAATAAGGCGAAATGTGATTGGTTGACATCGGGCTAATTATCCAATACAAACTGTTGTTGGTAGGCATCGCCAAGTTGACGATGGATTTCACGCTAAAAAAGCTGACTCTAAGAGTTAAATGAAATCGAATGTTTTTACTTGTATGAAGAATCGAATGGAAAATTATCGAAAGGGTCCATTATCGAAAATCGAAATGAATCGAGGTCTGGGTGAATCGTTGCAGTTCTATTGTTTAACACTGCACTCAGCAATATTCCACTCATATGACGGTGGTCTGTAAATAATAGAGTCTTGGACCAGACAATCAACTGATTGACATCATGAGCATCGATCCATGGATCAACATGCAGCAACCAAGACAGCAAAACCAATTCTGTTACCAAGATAGCATTCACACGTTGGCCCAACATTGGCAATGGTTTTACCAACATTGCCAACGTTGGGCCAACATCCGAATGCTATCTGGGTAGTTGAGACTGTCAAGATGAGTTGCCTCTTCTGACAAGCATAAAATATTTACATAGCATTCAAGACCACGAACTTGTTTTGGTCATAACAGAAAGACAGAATGGTCAGTATCTTGTCTTGAGAAGATTCTGCTGTATGTGGAAATACACTGAGTTTTGGGCACTATCAATCTAAAATATTCAAACCATAATCAAGCTTGGCCAGGGTCTTCATCAGGGCTCGAAAAATTCAAAAATCTGCACTCGCCCTATAGGCCGAGTTAAATGAACTTTCCACTCATCCTTCTAGAATTGTATTTGCCCTATAGATCATGCATCACAATGAATATAATTTTAAATTATTTTATTTCAAAATGTTTGCTTGGAATAAAACTACAATAAACATTACTTATTTTGTCTTCCGTACAAAATCTTTGACCAAATTGAATTCTTTCACCATTTAAGATAGCTAACTTCAAGGAAATAGAAAAATGTTACTTTTGGGTCAGAAAACGTACTCGTCCTCTAGGACAAGCAAATTATGTTTTTCACTTGCCCGAAATAAATTTTACTCGTGAATACAAGCGGACGAGTGGAATTTTCGAGCCCTGTTCATTCAACAATTTCCACTGCATGTGGAAGTGACTGATGGTGGGGGTATTCTGCAGTCAATCACATCACCATTAGATCTGGCACCAATCCAAGACCTCAAAGATGCAAAGATAACGAATGGTTCATTCATTAGCAAACAAACATGGGAATCTTCCCTTCATGTATCATCATAAGCAATTCAAAGCAGTTCCAACCAAGCTATAGGGGACGTTGTGTAATAGCGTACAGAGTTCAAGCTTTCGTCATGTTCCTATCATTAGTATCAAATCCATAAGCAATGTATTGGCTACTAATCAGTGAAAAATGAATCCGTCAAACACTTTGCCATACAAGTCATGAGCCGACAATGTATCAAGAATTATACAAGTTATCAGCATTCGTTGGTTTCACATTACTTTTCAACTCGCTGTGCGCATGCGCAGAGCGTGTGAAACTGAAAGATATCCACTGGCATGTTTCCGGTTCGGTCGTATGTTTATCGATAGTGTAAATGCACTCTAAACCAACGACTGACTGACTGAGTTTAGTTTTACGCCGCTTTTAGCAATATTCCAGCAATATCACGGCGGGGGACACCAGAAATGGGCTTAACACATTGTACCCAGTGAAACCAACGAATGACATAATAGTGATAGTAATTATGATATTGTAGCATATAATTAACTGTATAAAGATAACGATGACTTAATTTGCCTTCCCCAAAAATGACCCATATTCTAAAAACTTCTAAGACTGTTTTCATGTCAATATTTTGCACAAATTCTATATTACACACTAAACAGAAGTGCAATAACACTGTTTGTTTTGAACACGTGGGGAGATCAGCTGATCAGCTGTGACAGAAATAAATATGCATCACATCTGATGCGGTTGCAGAGGTGGGTAAAGTCAGCTCCATATTCTGCTACCCTCGGTGGCGTGTTGTCATCACATGACCTTTGATCCACGTGGCTGATCGCGGGACAAAAACATTCATGTAAACAATCCTGACGTGAGTTCATACAATGATCAAGCACAAATTACATAGTCAAACCTGGTGTTTCCTCGACAGGTGCGCGTTAAAGTTAAAGGTTTACCCACAGCTGCAGTTGTCATGAAACTAAAACAGCACATTTTATAACAGAAACTAAACACAAATGGGGTATACATACCTTGTAAAGCAAACAAATGCACGGGTAGGGAGTGAGCAAACGCGCGGCCGAAGGGTCCCCCTTCTTCAGGTGAGCTAGAATCAGAATCGGGCGAATTGCTTCTGTGAGCGGCGCCGTTTGATGTTGGTATAGTCAAAGCACCCGAATGACCAGGGGATTGGAAGCTTCCGAGACTTCTGGCACGGGCACGGGCGGCAGCACCCCCTGATCGACCCATGGCTAAATCCCCTGTGGCCGAACTGGTGCCAGCAGGGCTGCTCCCAGAGTATGTTCTCATACGGGGCTGATTGTGCGTACTAAGCTTCAGGCCCATGGTTTTTCAATACACTGACACTTCCGTCTTCAAATTTCATGGGTTGGAATCAAAGATTGCGACTGGCAAAACTCTAAACTTGCAACATAAATACATGATTTGATCTCTTTCTATTTCTATCCGCCATCTTTTCTTCCTTGTTTTGCGTCAGGGAACCAACACAAAAGTGACGTAGTTTTGTCATGTGACCTATGTAAACCATTGAAAGACAACACAAGGGCATAAATGATGTCTGTTTCAAATGACTGTTATCTGATAAAAATCTGCATCTTTGATGGAAATTATATCACCTTAACATTACTATGAATATGTTTAGGCTGTTTCATAGGATATTTTATTATTTTATTGGTTCTTTTCAACTAAAATATTTATCGCTTACACTTTCAGTCACATGACTTAATCATGGCGGATGCAACATTCTACGCCATGCAAAACATAAACATGATGGATTTGACATTTTATGTTTATGATTAAGGTTTAACAATTGTGAACGTAATATTTCGGTTTTTGAATAGCCTAACCATGTCTCTCCAAGCATCTGATATAGCTGACGAACTAGTCGTTTCCCAAGACGAGGAAGAAGTTGGGTTGCTGACGGGAAGAAAGGGGAAAGATGCACCTGCAATTATCAAAGGTTTAGTTTTGTTCATGTTGTAACAAGCATTACAGATAATACGAATGTGTATGTAGATCATGTAGACGGGATTTCAATTAAACTACCGTTCGTTCGTGTCACACTTGGACAGAGACAAACAATTAACTCTAAATACAGAAATATATATTATATTCTAAATTTTTATTTATTTAAGGTATTGGTTAATTTATCATGTTTACATCTTACTTGTTAGATCTACATTGAGTACATTGCTTAGTAATGAATGTTTAATTTCAACAGAAGCTGATTCCAAGCATGGTAAATTTTCCAAGCTTTATGAAATTTTATTTTTTTTAATTATCCAAATGGAAAGTCCAGCAGTTGTGTTTCATATGACCAAAGCACAAAGTCCTTCGCCCATATACATCTCCCATCTTTCTTCATCACGCATTTAGCATAACTATCAGTGTAAGGGAAGTAATCACCTTGTTCACATTCATTTTTAAACCATGCTCAATTTGGCTGAACTTTTCTCAGATTTCTAGCTGATTTGTTTCAAATATGCCACACAAAAGAGAGACTGAGTTGTAATGGAATAAATATTTTCATAGCTGTATAAACACCCATTACAATATAATAAATTATACTTGTTTGAATAGATATGCTAGTCATAAAAGACTCAACAGCATACATACTTGTCTAGTTCAGTAGTTGTTACCGGACAGGTAATAGACTATACATAGTGAACATGGACCTTATGTAGTTAATATATTTTGTACTGAGACAATACGTTCAATCTTAAACCTGATTGATCATCATTGAAGGGTTAGAGCAGTGTATGAAATAAGCCCCAAACCCAGCCAGACATCAGGGCTGGTAACTTCAAAATGTTACCAGCCGAAATGGATTTAACCAGACCAGACACCAAGATATTGTGAATTTACTCAGATGTATGGAACATCTAATTTTTTACCAGACCATTGGACTGGCTAGCTGTAAATTTAGACTGTCCCTCAGAAACATCAATTGTTTTTTCAACATTGGTCAACATTACATCTATTACTTGGAAGATAATCCAGACTGTCTGTACATTTTCATACATGTATACATATACCATTGTATTATTATGAAACTTATCCATACATGTTTGCCTGTACATGAAATATGGAAAATCCCAAAAAAATCCAAAAAAAATCTAGCCCGTCTCAGGCGTTCGGACGGGCCTTATTTCATACACTGGTTAGAGATAGCTGTTTCCTGGATTAATATGAAGGAACTTATTCATAAGTGTAGTTCAGGACACCTCACCTATAAGTGAAGCATCTACTAGGATAATCATCAAAAAGCATAAGTATCTCTTTTTAAAATATGTGAGATTTGTGTCGTTTGTCATGGTTATGCTATTTGTGAAATAAGCGTTGAAACATTTTTGTATGTGTAACATGCTTACACAAGTGGTGTTGGTGTTAGAATATCATGACACTTCAAAATATTGCGATATTATTTACCCATTATCTTCCTTGCGGAATGTTTTAAAATATGTTTTATAATGGATGATATATATGTCCTTCAAGAGCTATTTACACTACAGTGTGGCATATGCAAATGTCCTGCACAGCGATATACAGCGAGCTGTATTATGAGAGAGTAATATGACATTCTGATAAAATTGTTGACCTGGTGAACCAGTTGATAAGGATTTTAACCCTGAGTTTAGATAAAGCAGCCATTACTGGCTGAGCACTGAGAAATATTCTCCAACACAAAAGTAACTGTGATCACATAATTTTATCAGTAGATGAAAGTTATCAATGATAATGATGAATTTAGAGAACAATTCATCTACCAACTATGTCTTGAAAAGCTGCTTGTAAAAACCAGGACAGCAGAGCTATGTGAACAACACTGTCAAAATGAAGGCATGTGTCAAATTGTCCTTCTCGTTCAAACTGACGTTTCAATGAGGTATGAAAAGAAATATATTTTACCATTGTTTGTGTGAAGAAAAAAACAAACCCTTACTAGTGAGAATACAAATTAGAAATTTTTAACTTGTTCTACAATTTTATTTCAAGAAATCATATTTTTAGAAAGCCTATATTATTCATCTTGAAACTTTCAACACCCAAATATTTTTAATCTTCAAATAAACACAGAGAGGTTTTTTGTAAGTTCTCTCTTTCACTCAGTACTTGCGTGTATCTGACTGTTTTCATCCCAAATAATTCTAATTCTTTATATTGGCCATATTTGATGCAACATATTTCTTTGTGCACAGTTTCACATTAATATTTTCAAATGACTGTAACAGAATTGTTTTTTGAAGTTACATACTTTATTTCAGTCAGCAAATGTTGATGATGTTATTGTTTTGTTAATATATGGCAGGTTAAAAGAATAGTTCTTGCATGATTCTTCAAATTAGTTGTGATCACAACCTTTAATACAGTATACACTGTTAGACTGAATGATTCATGATATTCGGTTTTCATTGGCTTGTTGTATCTGGTTTTATTATCTTTTAGGTGTGATGGGGTAGCCTAGTGGTTCAAGTGTCCGCTCGTCACGCCGAAGACCCGGGTTCGATTCCCCGAATCCAGGACAAAATCCACCCGGACAAAATCCACCCCAAAATTGCAACCTAGGACAAATCCACCCCTAATAAATTCCACCCTAAGAAAAAACAAACTAATGACATGTTTAGTCACAGAAATTAATTTTATTCATATCAGTCATTCATAATCGATAACAAAAACAACCAAAATACATATGTAAGCACATTTTTGCATATATCAATATGACAATTGCACATTTTCACATTTCACATTTATGGATCATTCATGCATCAATACATATATAAATATTACAACAGCTTATATTTTCACACATTCAGACATATCTATGACTAAACATCTTGCCACATTTCAACAACGCAAACAACGGCCGACGCCGTGGAGAAAGTCCTCGAGTGTCTTTCCTTCGCTGCGTAGGTCTTGCACAGACCTTCAAGGCGTTCTTGGAGACGTTTGGTGGTTGTTCTGGTTCTCTTCTTAGGGGGCTGGCCTCTTTCGGACCTGTAGATGGCTGTACACGCAAGACCGTTGTCTTTTCTCAGACAGTCGATGAGTCACGGGGGAGTAGGGTGGGATTGTCCTATCAGTTTCTTAAACGCTGGTTCCAACCTTCGCACACATTGTTTGTTCGAGAACCACCCTCAAGAGTGATCTCATGGACGTTCCAAACTTGTGGAGGATACATCGGCTTGATGCGGCGGAAACGCAGTGACGCCTGTCCTGGGTGGTGAATCTGGCGGTAGGTGCCTGTGACGTACGTCTTGTCGAAGTAGTCAACCAGTGGCTCAAGGTCCTCGGAGACGGTGATCAAAATGTGACAAATGGAGAAGCCTTTAATGTTTGAAACAACATCTAGGAACAACAGCCAATTAGGAAAACGTAAATGCTATCAAAACAATGCTTGCAATGCTTGAGAAAAACAACTTGATCAAAGATCAGGACACACTAAAACTTTTAACAATAGCAATTTGAGAAGGGTGGATTTTGTCCATTTTTTGGTTAAGAAGAGGTGGATTTTGTCCGGGGTGGCAATTTTGGGGTGGATTTTGTCCGGGGTGGCAATTTTGGGGTGGATTTTGTCCGGGGTGGCAATTTGGGGGTGGATTTTGTCAGTTTGGATTTTGTCCGGTCACCCGATTCCCCACACGGGCACAATGTGTAAAGCCCATTTCTGGTGTCCCCTGCCTTGATATTGCAGGAATATTGCTAAAAGCGGTAATATCATACTCACTCACTATTCTCTATAAACATTATAAAAATATCATCGATTATTTATACAAACTGGAAAGTAACTTTGAGCAGAAATTAAAAAATGTGCTAAAGAAATCAATATGTTTCACGTCACTGGTGAGCAGTGACACGCTTGTGCTTGGATTACAAAGCAATAATTGTATTCCGCCTTGGCACAAAACTGTTTTGGTAAATTAAAACCTTATTTCATTACAATAGTTCAAGTAAGTTATCATCTATATAGGGTTTTACACAGACTTTGAAAAAAAGAGCGTCACGGTGACTCACAGTGTTTATTTTGGGGAGTCATTTTCAATATTTGGTAGTCTGAACAAAAAAGAGTTTTGAGTGATCTCAAAAAGCAACCCTTTGTTGGTTTGTGTTGTATTGTATTGCATTTAAATGCTACTGGTAGTTAATAAATAGTATTTTTTTCAATGTTCAATTCAGTCATAACAAAATCCAGTGTTATTATTATTAGCTGAACAAATAATCGTGCTTGTTATTTATTCATTGTAGCATACAGTTATTACCATGAATTGAAAGAAATATCTAATTTAACTCATTAAGCCCGAGAACCATCTCACTACTCAACCCCTGGAACCCCTCGCTGATTGCCCACTCGCTGTGCCGAGACTAATTAGTGCTAATCACACCTGATTTCCCGGTTATCTCCCATTTGACAGACACCCATTGGACAGACACCCAATTGACAGACACTGAACTAGAAGGTTAATTAGGGTAACACCTACGGGTATAATGGAACAGTCCACTGTCTAGTGAGTAGAGCAGGGTGAGCCTGAAACAGGTTCGTTACTGACAAATTTGATTGTGGGTAAATAGAACTTTGTTGTGATTAAATGATTTCTCTTCTCAAAATTGATTTTACTATCAATTACTATCTAATATAAAAACAGGTTTGTCACTGAGAGGTTTGATTGTGTTTATTGATAGAGTCCCCTCCCAATAATAGCATATGTACAACAGAAGATAACTGAGAAAACGTTTTGTTGGAGAAATATAGATATGTACATATTTGAAAACATTCTTATTTGCAGTAAATGAGACACCTGCATTGCCATGTTAGATAATGATTAATACCAATCAGTGTTCTAATTTCAACAATACTTTCTAAAGATTGTAACACTTTATGTCTTTGAGTAGTATACAATGGACAGTCAAGAAGGTAATGAAAAACATTCTCACATCCATGGCCACATTGACATATTTTAAATA